AAAAAGGCGAAACATTACTACAGAAAAGACCCTAAGTTACGTAGAACGAAAAACGATTAAGGACTTTTTTTAAGTAAAAACTATTTAATTCTCGTAAAGTATGCTAAAGTATGCTTTTTAAATGTTTTTAAGTAAGCTTTTTAATTATAATATGAATTGTATATGGTATACTCGTATACATTTCGTATTTCTTAAATATATTACATATATACCTTCTCTTTTTCTTTCCGTTTTTATACTCTTCGCTTTAACCGAGTTTTTCAGTTATCCGAGTTTGTTGCGGTCCCCATTAACTCGGATAATCGGGACTGTACTGTATTTATTTATATTTTGTCAGCTCGGAGACATTTGAAACTTATGTTCCTTTGAAAAAAAATCGGTACATATCGTTAGCTCCAGTAGCAGTCTCAAGCAAAGCTTTGTCTTCAGGAAGTTTTTATTTCTAATTTGGGGATTCCAGGTTTAAAAAAAATTTAGTATTTGAAATTTAATTTCATGATTCAATCGCAGATTAGCCGCAAGTTAACTAGCGTCGGCCACTTATAAATGACCCACCAAAGTCTTTGATTTTCATGCATAGTAATGCAACGTCATCGATGTTAGTGAGCAGTTAGTTGATTTTTGTTATATGAAAAGTTAGTTTGTGTACTTACAACGGTGAAAATTTCATGAACATTGTAAACAAGTCAAAATCACTTTAACAAGGAGCGAATAATAATGCACAAAACTCGTAGCCACGAGAAATAAAATAAATAGTAGAAGGAACAGTGAAATGCGCGGGGTCATTCTACGACCCTAGTAACTGATAAAAAGTCTATTGGGAGAGGACTGTCTAGTACCTTGATCTGCGGTATGGACGAATCATTAGATATCTGGTGTCTGTTATGTTAAATAATTTTGAAAATCATTTTTCTAGTACCTTGAAATGCGGTATGGGCGAATCTTTAGATATCTGGTGTCTGTTCTGCTCAATAATTTTAAAAATCTTTTTTCTAGTACCTTGAAATGCGGTAAGGACGAATCTTCAGATATGTGGTGTCTGTTATGCTTAATAATTTTAAAAATCAATTTTCTATTACCGTGAAATGCGGTATGAACGAATCTTTAAATATGTGGTGTCTGTTATGTTTAATAATTTCAGAAATCAATTTTCTAGTACCTTGAAATGCGGTATGGACGAATCATTAGATATATGGTGTCTGTTATGTTTCTTCTGCAGATGGTAAGAATGAATATTTGAATTGCATAAAAACAAAAGAAAAAAATTTATGTAATTTTGAACTTAATGTCTTTTTTAGGTATTTTACATGTCTATTTCTCTTTATGGAGCAGTTTTGGCATTGAGCGCTGTTACGGACTTGTCTTTTGAAATGTCAGTTGTGTCCTTGGGAACTGTTTGTGCTCTCTATTGTTCCTTGGTGAGATTGCTTTCTAAATTGATTCAAGATTTTCATAAATTTCATTTTTCCACTAATTCTTCTATTTTTTCATTATTATTTTAAGGGAAATTTTTTTTATTTAAAATCGTTACTTATTTATTCTTATTTAACATAACAAAACCGATCGTTATAATCACTTATAACGAAGTTTATATCAACCTATCAAAAAGTATGTAAAACTTGTACTTATTACGCCAAAAGAATGGGGTTCGATCCTCAGAGGAGGGTTGAAGCCCTCTCAGCTTCGGATCAATGGGACATAACTTGTCAGGGAAATAAAGGTAGTCTGTCCGTAATGCTGACCTCATTAATACAATGATGACGTTGCTCTAAAAACTGTGGAACCTTAACTTCCATAAACTCTCGTGCTCTCAGCAGGCTGATACGGGAATACTTTATCAACGCATTCAATGTAGGCTATTAATAATTATTACTTTTCTTTAAATCATAAATGGATAAATAAAATAATATTTATCACGCTTATCAAATTTTACAGCTATATACTTGAAGAGTTTCTCAATTTTTAGCTCTTAATTATCTGCAAAAAAATAGCTTCATAACACTTTTTAATTTAACCCCTTAACGATCGGTTAATTTTCAGGAAAACGGTCGTAAAAGTGCCTACTTTACCAAATACACATATTTGATTAGTGCTTACATCTAGTTTAACATAAACTAACTATCTACAATTACCTTAAATATATCCTGGTTCTGCCATCTGGTGTGTAAAATGAGAAATAAAATGTTTTCGGGGCAAAAGAAATGAATTAGTTTTATTCTTATTGGCGCGTTATTACTGAGCACTCCAGCCCGGAAGAGAAATCGAGAGCGAAACCTCACCCAGTCATTTTCACGAAAGCGAGGAGGAATATAAGATTCACTGCTTCTTTTTTTGGTTATTTATGCATGAATTAAGGATGAGATTTCGTGCTGTTTTAAGGATCAATTAGCCCATCTGAAAAAAAAACTCTTTCGTAATACTTGGCAGACCAAAAATGGCATCTCTTTACAGAAATCGCTAAATTCCAGAATTCTGAGAGCTCGCATGCAGGCAGTCGGGCTACAGAAGCGGGGTGCCTTCCCTTCTCCAGAATATCAAAATTATGATATCATGTCCTTGGAGCATCATCAGGTTCTGACAATCGATATTAGCTATTTATTTAATAATTCGATATAATAATCTAGAAATTCTGGCTAGACTTGCTATAGCATGATATTTCTAAAGTGCTAATATTTAATGTGTATGAGATCTACTGATTACATTTTTGCGACGTAACATTCGTCACACTTTATTACTTTATACGCATTTGCAACGTAGAACTATCGTGACGTTAGTAAACATTTTGCATACCTACTTCGCATGACTTTTTATTTTATTCTATAACTAGCGTTTAACAGCCGATCCAATTCTGAGTTTACAACTATTAATGGTTAACTCCATAGCTTCTGAGTTTTTAACCCAACCTAGAATATAAGAGAACTCCTAGATCAAACATTGGAACTAACTAGCTTTTCTGGAAAATTTTTCGATCGAACTAACCCACATTTACACATCACATTTGACTTGCATGCAGAGAAAAACCACGAGCAGATGCGGCTTTTGCCATGGTTAGCCCGAATTCAAGGAAATTCTAATCATAATTCATCTACTACTGAGGATATTTTATGTCTTATGGATAAACTTATGGTTGGCGCGAGATGGGAGCTGAAACCGTATCAACTAGACACTGCTGGGATTCGAAACTGGGTTATCTATACGAAAGGCGAGCTCTATCCCCTGAACAACCACTGGGATTCGATATAGGGACACTTGATTAGCAGACGAATGGTCTATCTCCTGAGCAACCACTGGGATTCGATACAGGGCCACTTGATTAGCAGACGAATGGTCTATCCCCTGAGCAACCACTGGGATTCGATACAGTGTCACCTCATTTGCAGACGAATGGTCTATCTCCTGAGCAACCACTGGGATTCGACACAAGGTCACCTCATTGGCAGGCGAATGGTCTATCTCCTGAGCAACCACTGGGATTCGATACAGGGTCACCTCATTGGCAGGCGAATGGTCTATCTCCTGAGCAACCACGGCTCGATTTGTATAACATGGCAATTCTGACAATGAATATATTTAGCACTCACGCGTACCATCCCGATGCGTTTACGTGTACATGTTCTACTCACTTGATTACTTTAATTAAGAAGAAAAACATTTTACAAAAAGCCTGACTGTAACTATACGTTAATTTTTAAGCCTTTTAACACTAGGCCTATTTTGTTGTCAGTTTCTTACAGATTATATAATATGCATTTATTAATTCCATTATTTAGGGAGGACTTAAAGCTGTTTTGTGGACCGATGTTTTTCAAGCTATTTTAATGATAACTTGTCTATTAGCTATATACATAGCAGGCATCTCTGATGCAGGTGGTATTTCCGATCACTTTCAAAAGGCTTCGACTGGCAAAAGACTAGACTTTTTCGAGTAAGAATTTTTTCAAAGTTATTGATTCTCATTACGAACGACATTGTTTTATTTTTTTTATATTACAGATTCATGCCAGATATAACCCGTCGGTATGGATTTTGGGCCTGCGCTTCTCATGGAATTATGATGGGAATGGCCTTCTTTGGAACAAATCAAGTTGAAGTGCAAAGATTACTGAGTCTCAGTAACATAAAACGAGCAAAATCGTATGTATGTAACAACCTAAAAATATAGAGCATATAAGTTAATTAATATGTTTTTACAGGTATTAGAAATAATTCTTAAATACCTACAAAATTGTCCTAAAGATATAAAGCCTTCTGACCCGCATAAAAATCACAATTACAGCATTGCGTTCTTTTTTCTTGTTTTTAGTAGTCAAAGGACACGCCATCCTACTCAACTAAATTTCAAAAATTAACTGTCGACTGCTTCTAAATATGTATTTTTCATATATTTTAGAACAGGGGTTTCCAACTCACATGAGGCCGAGGTCTGCAATTGAAAACACCAGTCAAATGGCGGGCCGCTACTTTATCAAAATTTTATATGGGATTCTTTTATGTTTGAAGGAACATTAAATATTACTGTCCGATTTTTTTCAAGCTGTACAAAACAAAAGTAATGAGTTGCAAATTAAAATAAGAAGCAGATTTTTAAAAATATTTAATTACATATTGAATAATTCTGGCTACAAAGTTTGCAACTGTAAATATTTCCTCCCAAAATGAGTTGTTTTAAAAAGTTAAATCGGAGAATTTCTCCGAGAAAATTTCTGATACACACTTACTAAATTATATTCTCACAATACAAAAAACGAAAAAAAAGAGCAACATGCACGAATATTTTTGTATTTGAATAAATATTTTCTTGGATGCAAAACTTGAGAAATAAACTTTTCTGCACCATTGGTATGTTAAATTTCATAGAAATGAAGAAATTTGGTTTCTTTAAAGAAAAAAAAGTATTTTAAATCCATATAGATTTTTTACGAAAATGACAACTAGTATATTATAGTTCGAGGGTAGCAAAAAAAGGCTTCGCGGGCCGCCAGTTGGTAACCACTGTTTTAGAACATCCACTAGATGTCAGCTATGAACATGTTAGAGTCAATATGATAATCTTTATGCTTCTCAACAAAAATTCTATCCTGTCTTGAAAAAAGTAGCTTATCCCGATCTTGATCTTTCTGCATCAAAATCATTTTAACTGTATCGAGCATTTTTTTGCTAAATTACTATAAATATTAGTAACCAAAAGCACGTAGCATCACCCCAGATTTGTAAAAATTATTAATTGATTGATTGTTTACAAATATGTACTTTTCCTATTTTAAGAATATTTACTAGATGGCAATATCAAGACAAGACTAGATGAAAGCATAAACATCTTACAGTCAATGTAGAAATCGAGAAATTTTTTAATCAAAATCTTTTCCTAATCTGCAAAAATGTTACACATCAATTCTACACATATTTCAATTGATTTATGGTATTTTAATTATAATTAAATTCTCTTTTTTTCCCAAAAAAGAACTTACTGCCATTCAAAATTTTGATAATTTAATATAAACAAATTGTAAGCTAGAAGTTAAGCATTCCACGGTTCTCCCATTTCGTAGAGAGAAGCATTCTCAATTTAAGAGAGAAGAGGATTTGTTTTATAATCTTAGAACAACAGCTGTAAATATATTCGTTTAACTTCAGAAAGAATTCACGAAAGGAACGTAAACTAATATCATACGATGCTAAAGATAAACTAGGCTTGAAAAAAATAGGTTTCCAGCAATGAAAGAGACAGTTTCAAAAAATTTCAGATACACATGAATCGGAGCAATTTCATTTTAATAAGATAATATTTATTTTCTCATTCATTCTAGAGGTAACAATAAATCCATAATTATCTATGAGCCGTTTTATCATTCCACACGAAAAAAAAATTATTGTATATCTTAACAGCAAAAATGGTGAATGCTTTTGACCAAAGTATTGTAGCGAAACACCGTACATAACTCTTGGTTCAAGGTATTTCTCCATTCCATCCCAGTATTCCATTTCTCCAAGAACCAAAAATAGTTCTTTGTTTAGTGAAACACCAAGAATGTTCTTTCACACTACTTGGTGTAAAAGAGCTGCCGTCACTTTTGTTATCTAATAACACTATCTTACTAATTTACAGTAACAGTAAAATATTATATGGATATTAGTTATTAAAATTATTTTTATGAAACAGTTTGAAGTTAGAACCATTAATTTTTGGATGCATGCACTTCCTAAAATAAAATTAGTCTGTAAACCAATATATTATATAAATATTCGAACGAGGCTTAATAGAACAGGAACGGATAGAAATTGTATATATTACAATTATTTACAACAGTTTACATAGATATAAAAATCTTAATATAATCATCCTTATTACGCAACTAAAAACACACATATACATTTTAAAAAGGTTCCGTATTTTGTGATTGTGGAAGTAAAGCAGCTTTGAAAACAACAACAAATTCACCAAACTCTAACTCGATTATATAAACGATTTATTTACTATTTTCAAAGTGTGAAAACATTGGCGTTTCCGGAAGTGAAACGTATAATGTAAGTCCACGTATAACGTGGATGCGCGTGAGCTTGGTACACGTTTTTTCCATTGTAAGTGCTTAGATTTGAAACGCACTATTTAAATTGTATATGAAAGCTCTTTTTGGTGTTAAATTTAAATAAGCTATCATTTCACATAACTTTTTGGGTTGGTTAACATTATATTCGGAGAGATATTACACCTCAGTATTTACATTGCAAACTTATACCAAGTTGTATAATTTAATATTTAAAATAGTATTAAAATATTTAATATCATACTAAACTGATATATCTTTTTCTAAGTAATTTCAATTAAAACTATAAATACAATTGAAAATTTAAAATTGAATATATATACAAGCATGAAAATTGCCTAAGTTCCTAATACTGAATCAAGAAATCAAAGCAATTTTATTTTATATCATTAGAATAATTTTATTTCAATGTTCTTTCTTTTAAATAATAAATAGGATTATTTTAATAACATATATACTTTTCCCATTTATTTAGATTTAAACTTTAAAATAAAATCCAAAACTTNCAAACATGAAAATTGCCTCAGTACCTAGCACTGAATCAAGAAATCAAAGAAATTTTATTTCGATGTTCTTTCTTTTAAATAATAAATAGGATTATTTTAAAAAATGTATACTTTTCAAATTTATATAGACTTAAACTTTAAAATAAAATGCAGATCTTTTATTCAAATATTTCAAACATATCATAAAATATTTACAGAACGCTTCGAATGAGTAGTTTACCAGTGTGTTTCATGTACTCTGCATGCTGTTACATGGGAGTGGTGTTATATGGTGTTTACTACAACTGTGACCCAATCTTAAACAAAGAGAGAACAGGATTAAGAAAATATGATCAAGTAAGTGACAAATGTAGTAAATAAATTAATCGAATGAACATTATGTTTTCATGTAAAAAATGCAAAGCAATATAGTATAATATGAAAATTACAAATAAAAAAGAAGCAGCATTTAAAAATACGTATATATAATATTTCTTTTAAACTGTGTTCTTTAAATATATTCTTACAGTAAATAACTATCTGAATGCCCGTTCTTCGTATGGGGTGAAAAAAGAATGTATAAATCAATACTGAATAAAACTAGTAAGTTTTGAACAAAAATGTTGGATAAATACCGACGCAAATAATGCAGTTTAAAATAATTCAATGTTTCTTTTTATTTATTATTAATTGATGTTGTTTTACTTAATGGCTTTACCTTATTAGATTAAGCAAAATAGGTACTTCTTCCTTTTGTTTCGGCGTCAACAGTTTTCGGAATCATCTGGCATAATGCTGTTACTCAAAGCAACTCACGGCATTTAAAGTTTGTTACAATTCTGGATTATACGTGCTATAAATGGTTTGTGCTAGCGTTAGTTTTTTCGAGAAGAAAGTTATTGGTTGTCATGAATCATTTAAGCGTTTCTGTAAAATTCCTCCAACGGCTGAGTCAGACGCATTTACATACATAGGCTATTCAAATGTTGAATTTGTTTATTTTAGCCATTTCACATTGGCGAGATCTTGTTTGCAGCTAAGAGAAGCATTTCGCCCAACCTCAAACCAAGATATTGGTTTAGTACTATTTACAGTTACACTACTAGTTTTAGTACTATTTAGTACAGAAGAGCTTGGTTTTGAGCTATTTTTCGGCAAACAACGATGGTAATAATTTAACATCCCCAAAAATATCCGAAGGTCCTTCACTGGTTTTGCTCCTATCTGCTCATTAAATTTAAATTCTGTAGTTGCATTTCTGTGGGCAGTAGATGGCTTTTTTACTACAAGTTTAACAGTTAATAATTCTCGAGCAATTAGTCGAATCTCATTTTTTTTCATTTCATCGCATTCTTCGTATTTATAGAGAAAAAAGAACAGACTTAAAATTGCAGTAACTTTTGAATTAATCAGAATTTCAAAAGAGAAACTCTATGAAGTTTATAAACGAATATAACCAATTTAGTATGAAAAATTTCAACTCTTCTAGGTATATTTTTGCAGGCTGTGACCACTCCCGTGTACTATTTTTCCAACAAGCTTAAAAATTAATAAATCTCGAATTATTTATAAAATCTTATTTTCCTTATTTAATACACTTCGTAATCCTCCACACCTTCGTAATTTCAAGTTTAGCTATATTATTTTTTAATACAAAGAGATAATTTTTTTAGCAAACTATTAGGCATTTATTTCTTAAAGATTTACTACATCAACGCAAACAATTTTTAAATTCTTTTTAGGTTGTCCCGGCTTACATTGTTACAAGATTTAGCTCTTATCCAGGACTGACAGGTCTGTGCATAGCTGGTATCTTCAGTGCTTCCATGAGTACTATTTCCTCGTGTCTGAACTCTGCCTCAACCGTTACAGTCATAGATTATTTAATACCAATCTTCAGAAAGGGCAACATTTCTGATTTGAAAATCATCCTACTCGCAAAAATTGTGTGTAAGTTTCCAACGACCTCACTAGTATTATACGGGTAAAAATTAATAGTGTGAAGTTATTTTAGCCAAATAATCTATTTAAAATATGCTGATACTGATTCGATGTATTTAAATAAATACTGGGGCGTCACGATTAACCTCCTGAAAGCCTTACTCAGGAGACGCGATATAACTGTTCATATGCTGTTGTCAACTGCAATTGAATTGCATAGCCATCTTGTTGCTTTAATCTTGGTTTTTGTGCTCCTTCGCCGTCCGCCTTTGCTTTCTGACTTAGTTTTTGGTGTTCAGAATTCGTGGGTGACCAGCGGCATTGCGACTCAGAGTCAGCAATGCATGATGCTCACGTTTTGGAAGCCGCTTTCATGGTAGCGTGTCTTCAAGCACATGCATATTATTCCCAATTTTGGGAAAAATTAATTAACCAAATAAATAACTAGTTCATTGCAAATAACTTTACAAACACGTGTACAAAAAGTATTAACAGTTTATTAAATATCAATGTATATGCTGTTTAAATTTACCCTAATTAGAAGTCTTGGCTTAATTAGCATCAATGGCTTTTAAATGTAACTACTCCTTAAAATTTAAACTCTTTCCAAGATTTGGCTTTATTTTATAAATACCACATTCAAACTAAGAGTAATATAGTATAACTTAAAAAAAAATAACGAAAAACAATACAGGCCCTGTTGAAGTTTTTTTGAAAGGCAGAATTAAAATAAAACTCGCTCGGAGAACTAGGCAAGGAAATGTTATTTTATTATACTATCTCTTTGTCTGAATCAATAGATATACTGCTTACAAAACTTAGATACTTTTAGTTTACTTCATTTATAAACAGAGGTTTTAATTTTGATACTTTATTTATGTACTTTCTTTTAAAAGCTGCTATCTATGGCGGTGTTTGCATAGGTCTGAGCTTTGCCTTTCGACACGCAGACAGTATTCACCATTTGAATCAAGTATTTGTTGCTTTACCTCAGGGTATTATTTGTGCTGTTTTTCTGTTTGGAATGCTGACAAGAAAAGCTGGTGATAAAGTAAGTTTTATTCTCTAAGATTCGCGAAATATGCTATTTAGGGGAAAGTTTATACTTTTCAGCACGTCTAGTACTTTATAAATAGTGACAGTAATCACATCCTTTTAACTATTTAATATTACAAAATTTGATAATGAGCATGAAATAATTAAGAATAATGATTGAATACAAATTACTACCTATTTATATATTTTTTACTTATTTATTCATTTAAATCAAAAAATCTTATGTGTGGCAGTTATGANTTTCCCAGAAGGAGCAATTTTTTCACCAATAACGTTTCTTAGTTTTGTTTATAGATATTTTAAGTACTTTATCAGATATACTTTTAAGTACTTTATTACTTTTTAGAAGCATTCACTAAATAACGCCCATAATACACAGACTTATCCTATTACAAAGTAGCCACTTATCCGGAAGAAATTGGACATAATAGGCCAGCTGAACTCTTAAAACTAACTTAAAATAAAATTCATGAAACCACATAATTTTTTTTCCAGACTGTGAGGTTTATAATTATATTGCCCCACTACTTTATATTTATTTCCTGTTAGCAATTAAAAAGGAATAATTTCATTAAATGAATTTCAATTTCTTACCTCAGTTATGCTAGAAACTTCGCATTGGAAATACACTGGTATAATAACGCTTGATGATATAAACATTCCTATGGGTATCATAAAATTAGCAATGGAAATAGCGACGCCATATTTGTAAACTTCAGCTGGTGATGAAAGAAACGAAGACGTAGATGTGAGAGTAACAATGAGAGAAAAGATAACAGGAAATTTGGGCATATTTTTTCCCGCCAGCAAATAATCCGACGCTAGTTTCTGTTGACCTTTGAAATACCTTGCACATAACCCTATCCCAATCGATAACAAAAGTGTCAAAGAAATAATAACATAATCGGCAACACCAAGACTGTATTTTTTAAACATTTTGATTTCTGTGTCTGATTACAAACTTCTGCGATTTGCTATAGCTTATTAAATGCGGTGCAAAGAATCTTCTGACTATGAAATGCTGAAAAGAAATTAAGCTATATTCAGAGCAATTTATCTTCGTAAAAGGATCATATTTCTCTTAATTTTAATTGTCTTATTCTTATTAAACGTCGTTTTCAATGATAACAAGTGGAAGAAAATGCTATAATTTATGTTCTATTAAAAGTTAACCTTTTTTCTGTTTTTTTATTGTAGGAAAAAAAATATGTTTTCCTTTTGAATGGCAATTAAAAGAATATATACGTTACCGGCAAAGTATGAAATAGTAACTAGGCATTGTATACAATATTGGAAGGTTTTAGGTAAAGTATGAAATATGGGTATTATTACATATTTTCCCTAGGCATTGTATATAATTCCTAGGCATTCTACAGAATGACAAATTTTATTCAAGTAAAGTATGAAAACGTCCCCGATAAGGCCATTGTATAAATAAATGACGTTCATTCCTCAAAATAGCAAATGTTGTTCTGAAGAAATAATCAGACTGAAATTTAAAAAAAAATTATTCGAAAAGCGTGAAGAAAAATGAAATTTTACTGAAACAAAATTCGTGCTCTTATAAAGGGAAACAAAATTTTTATATAATATTCAGAAATTTAAATTAACTTACTTGTTTCAACATGGTAAGTTTGAAGACATTTTGAATTACATTTTGTTACATTCGAAGTGAATCGGAGATGTATTTCATACTTTACTGGAAGAAAAAAGAAAATTAATTTTATTTTGCGTTTAATATTAAAATGAACGTGATACACTTTAGAAGTTAATTTGGTTGTTTAATGGACAATATTATAAAAAGAAGAAAAAATTGATTGTTGTTGTTGTTGTTGTTGCTTATCCTCACGGATCTGACATTAGTCAGATCAACTCCAAAAAGTTGTTGACAGCCAAAAAGTCGATGACAAGAAGTGGATCGGAAATTAAGTCCGCCCAGCTGGGGCCCCATTACCAGCTTCACGGAATCTGATTCCGATTGAAATGAAGCTCTCGTGACGTCATAATGCCGTGAATGTCGTGAATTTAGGCCGTATTACGAGCTCTTGATTCCGATCGGAACTAAATTCCGATGCGAAATAATTACGAATCAGGGGCCCTATTACCAGCTTCACGGAATCTAATTCCGATCGAAATGAAACTCTCGTGACGTCATAAATCCGTGAATGTCAGTTAAGTCGTATTACGAGCTCTTAATTCCGCTCAGAACTAAATTCCGATGCGAAATTATTACGAATCCCATTCCGGCAAGTTTAAGAGTAAGCGAAATCTAGATTCCGATAAGAGTTTTTAGTGAACAAAATGGCGCTGTTTTCCGTCATACAGCCAGCTATTGCTGAAGAGAGTGATCGAAACACTATTAAGAGAAAGATCTATCGGCCTAAAAGATTTTGGGTATTCCAATATTCCGACAACAAAATTTAGAAGTTAATTTAGATTGGAAATTAGTTTTTTTTTTAAAATGGTGTTACTCATAGGCGGAATTCAGTAGTGGAAATGAATAATGTTGGATTGTAGAAATTAATAACAGAAGCTACATAAAAAAAAATGTACAAAAAAAAACAATAGAATCTTAGCTAAAACAAGGAATTACCAAAGTTAGCTATTAGAATTTCATATATTGTTTGAAATATGCATGTGTAGGGATTTAACAATCGACTGTGCTAACCTTCACCTATCTAAAGGTACTTTCAGATGGTTCCAAGTTAACATGTCTTATATAGTATTGATTTGGTATTTAATATTTATAGTGGTAATTACGCTAGATATGCCGATAAGGCTTCCTTTATTTTAATCTGGATTGTTTTCTAAGTATTCCACAATCATTGTTTGCAGGCGAATATTAATTTTTGTACGTGAAGCCATTTGAAAATACTACGTTGTAATTTCTCTCTACACTACTCTCTGTACTTCAAAAAAACACAAACTTGGCTTTTAGAACACAAAATTGTTGAAAATGTATGAATTTTTAATCGATTCCGGATTCCGATATGCTCATGTTGCGGCACAGTGGGTTTTACGAAATTGGCAATCCGATGAAAGCTAGTTTCCGATCGGAATCGTTTCCGAGCGGAATAAATTTCGATGGGTTGGTAATAAGGCCCCAGATTCCGGCATATTTAGAGCAAGCGAAATCTAGAATTCGATAGGATTTTATTTATTTTAGTGATCAAAATGGCGCTGTTTTCTGTCATTACTACCGGTTAAAGCCAATCTGAAAAACATTTTTGTAGTTTTTCTTAGCGTGTAACACAAAATTTGATAATTTTAATTTAATTTTATTTAAAATAGGATATTTTTATAGCTTTCATAACCATAATTGTAGTTCGATACTTAAATTGAGGCTTATTTTGTTTTACGGATTGAGTTAAAAAGAACAGCTTTTCGTTATATTCAGAAAGATGATAACTTATCTATTTCATAATTTTATAACCGTCTTCGAACAGCCAACCTAATTTTGTGTTTACGACTACTGATGTTCAGCTCCGTAGTCTTGTAATTTTAAATCCAACCCAGAAGACAAGGAGAATCCTGTATCAAGTATTGAGTGAAATTTGATCTCCGTGGGGGACTTTTTGATGGAACTAACCCTCATTTCCGTAACATGGAGTGGAAAACCTGGAAAACCTCCCACGGTTAGCCTAACCTCAAGGAGACTCCAGATCTTCTGAGTTACAACGGCTGGGCCTGATTAATAATAACAAATGATTGATTATGAAAAAATAATTTCATTGAGATAATGATGAACCTTTAGTTGAAATCCAATTACCGCCAAGCAATCTGAAAAACATTTTCGTAGTTTTTCTTTGTGTGCAACGCAAAATTTGATAATTTTAATTTCAACTTAATCACGGTTAAAATAAATTATTTTTATAACTTTTATAAACATTGTTTTTCGCCGATACTTAAATCGTGAGTTACTTTGATTTTTGGGATGAGTTAAAAATATAAATACAAAAAATATAAAGAGCATCTCGTTATATGTATTTGTTGTAGTTACTATACGTCGCACTAAAGCTGCACAATGGGCTATTGGCGACGGTCTGGGAAACATTCCTGAGGATGATCCGAAGACAAGCCATCACAATTTTGATCCTCTGCGAAGGGGATGGGACCCCTGCTTCGGTAGCCCAACGACCTGCACGCGAAGTCGAGCACTTTACGGTAGAACAGTTTAACGAGGACCAATACCGCACACCCTCGGTCCCTACGCAGACTGATCCAAGTGGTCACCCACCCGCACACTGACCGTAGTTAGTGATGCTTGACTTCGGTGATCTGCTGCGAACCGTGTCTTAACGATCAGTCCACTGCGGGACGCATCTCGTTATATTCACAGTTATAATTGGCTGTCCGTCAAAGATACTAAAATATGATTCATTATGTAAAAAAAATTCATTACAATTTCTGAGCATTAAGCTGGAACTCTTTAAGCGTCAAGCAGTCTGAAAGATATTTTCGTGGTTTCCCTTTACGTGTAACGCAAAATATGATTGTTTCCTTTTAAAAAATAAAAAAAACATTTATAAAGGCATTAATGTTAAAATATTTACATAAATTATGAGTTATATAATCTTTCTTCCCTGTTAAAACGAAGCAAAATGAAGAGCATTTTATTGAGGGCAATTCATTAGCAGGATAGATAGTCTTTTGCGGACGTTAAGAAATGATTTGGCAGATTTCTTCAGAATAAATGCTATGAATAAATATTTTGATGAAAAAGATTTTTATTTTTAATTCTCATGGGAAAATTTAAAAAAATTATGGGTGCATGACTTATATTTTTTAAAAAAATGTGTCTCAATCTATATTGTTTGAAAACAAATACCGGTAAGGATTCCTTTATTTAAATCTGGATTGTTTTCTAGGTATTCCACAATCATTGTTTGCTGGCGAATATTAATTTTTGTACGTGAAGCCGTTTGAAAATACTACGTTGTAATTTTACTCTACACTACTCTCTGTACTTCAAATAAACACAAGCTTGGCATAGAA